CATCAAAAATACAATTATTTAACCATGGCCTAGAAATGGTCTCATGTTAAAATGTAAGGTTTGATTTATTTTTGTAATCTATGTACTCATTTGTCATTTTGTCATACTTTGGTGGCTTATGTATTTCTGTGATCTGGAAGCTATGCCACGAGTTTTTTTAAATACCAGCAGGGTCACCCACAGTGGACAGTGTTCAGCTGAGCTTCCAGTCTAAGGCAGACTTGGAAGAAGGAGAGACAGACTAATTCTGAATATTTAGTCACTAGAAACCTTATGAAGACTAGTGGAACACTGTCAGATAGCACCAGAATATTGAATATTGAAACATGATGAAGAGCACCAGAATATTGTAAGACACACTGCCCAAAAATGGTCCCCTCAGGTTGGAAGGCACTCAAAACATGACTGGGGAAGAGCTGCCTCCTCAAAGTAGAGTTGACAGTGATGATGCAAATGGAGTAAAACCTTCAGGACCTTCTTTTGCTGATGGGGCACAATTCAAAATGAGGAGAAACAGCTGTAAACATCCATGAATAATTAGAACATAGAATGTACAAAGTATGAATCTAGGAAAATTGGAAGTTGTCAAAAAATGAAACGGAACTCATAAACATCTATATTCTTAGCATTAGTCAGTTAAAATGGACTGGTATTGGCCATTTTGAATCTGATAATCACATGGTTTACTATGCTAGAAATGGCAAATTGAGAAAGAATGGCATTGCGGTCATCAACAAAAAGATCATTTCAAAATCCATCTTGAAGTATCTTTGTGATAGGATAAGATCCATATGCTTACAAGGAAGACCAGTTCATACAACTATTATTCAAATTTACACACATAACACTAAAGCCAGTGATGATGAAATTGAAATTTCTTACCAACTTCTTCAATCTGAATTTGATCAAACGTGCAATCAAGATGTATTGATAATTACTGGTGATTGGAATGCAGAGGTTGGAAACAAAGAAGGATCAGTGGTTGGAAAATATGACCTTGGTGATAGAAACAGTGCTGGAGATTGCAGGACAGAATTTTGCAAGACCAATGGCTTATTCATGGCAAATGCCTTTTTTATACTAACAGAATTGACAATTATAAACACGGACCTCAACAGATGGAATATGCAGAAATCAGACTGACTACATCTGAGGAAAAACAGTGGAAAAGTTCCATATCATCAGGCAAAACAGGACCATGCCTGACCTGAAGCAGACCATCAACTTCTCATATACAAGGTCATACTGAAGCTGAAGAAAACTAAAACAAGTCCACGAGAATCAATATATGACCTCAAACATATCCCACCTGAATTTAGAGATCATCTGAAGAACAGATTTGATGCATTAGACACTAAAACCAAAGACCAGAAGAGTTGTGGGATGACAAGAACATCATATGGGAAGAAACCAAAAGGTCATTAAGAAGACAAGAAAGAAGGAAAACACCAAAAGAAGAGACTCTGAAACTTGCTCTCTAGTGTAAAACTGCTAAAACAAATGGAAGAAATGAGAAGGTAAAAGAACTGAACAGGAATTTTCAAAAGGCAGCTCAAGTCCAAGTCAAATATTATAATGAAATATGCAAAGCCTTGGAGTTAGAAAACCGAAAGGGAAGAACACACTCAGAATTTCTCAGGCTGAAAGAATTGAAAAAGTTCAAGCTTCGCTTTGCAATACTGAAGACTTCTATGGGCAAAATGGAGTCCTGGTTTGGCCCTGTGGATTTATGCACTGAACTGCAGAGTAGGTTTGAAGAGCAAGGTCGGCAGTTCAACATCACCATCCGCTCCTTGGAAACCCTATACAGGGTTGCTATGGATTGGAACCAACTTGACGGCACTTAACAACAACAGAAGCAATGGGCAAAATATTAAATGATGCAGAAAGCATGAAAAGAAGATAGAAGGAATACACACAGTCACTGTGCCAAAAAAGAAATGGTCGGTGTTCAACCATTTCAAGAGGTATCATATTATCAAGAGGCAATGATACTGAAAGAAGTCCATGGTGCACTGAAGGCATTGGCAAAGAATAAGTAAATCTCCAGGAATTGATGGAATACAAATTGAAATCTTTAAACAAACAGATGTAGCACAGAAGGCACTCACTCATCTATGCCAAGCACTATGGAAGACAGCTACCTGGCCAATGGATTGAAAGAGATCCATATTTTGCTCATTCCAAAGATATATGTGCCAATGGAATGCAGAAATCATGGGACAATATCATTAACTTGCAACAAAGTAATATTTTACTAAAGATAATTCAAAAAATGGCTGTAGCAGTACATTGACAAGGAACTGCCAAAGGTTCAGGTCAGATTCAGACAGAGTAAGAGGATTTCATTGCTGACGTAAGATGGGTCTTGACTGAAAGAAAGAATATCAGAAAGATGTTTAACTGTATTTTATTGACTATGCAAAGGCTTTCAATTGTATGGATCATGGCAAGCTATGGACAGCATTGCAGAGAATGAGTATTCTGTAACATTGTGCTAATGAGGAACCTGTACATAAACCAAGAGGCAGTCATTCAAGCAGAACAAGGGGATACTGAATGGTTTCAATTCAGGAAAGGTGTGTGCTAGGGTTGTATCCTTTCACCATAATCTATCAATGATGAGCAAATAATCCCAGAAGCTGGATTGTTTGAAAAAGAATGTGACATTAGTATTGGAGGAAGACTCATTAATAACCTGTGATATTCAGTGATATACAGATGATACAATCTTGCTTGCTGAAAGAGAAGAGGAATTAAAATATTTACTGACGAAGATCAAAGACCACAGCCTTCAGTATGGGTTGCACCTCAATGTAAAGAAAACAAAAATCCTCATGACAAATGGAGAAAAGACTGAAGTTGCCAGAGACTACATTTTGCTTGGATCTATCATCAACGTGCATGGAAGCAGCAGCCAAGAAATCAATGTATTGCATTAGACAAATCTGCCACATAAGACCTCTTTAAAGTGTTCAAGAGCAAAGATGTGAATTTGAGGACTAAGCTGCACCTGACCCAAACCATGGTATTTTCAATAGCCTCATATTCATGTGAAAGTTAGACAGTGAACAAAGAAGACAGTACAAGAATTAATGCATTTGAGTTATGGTGTTGGAGAAGAATATTAAAAGTACCATGGACAGCCAGAAGAACAAACAAATCTGTGTTAAAAGTACAGCCAGAATGCTCCATAGGAGAATGGATGGCCAGACTTCATCTCTTATACTTTGGACATAGTTTTAGGAGGGACCAGTTCCTGGAGAATGACATCATACTTGATAAAGTGGAAGATCAGCAAAAAAGAGGAAGATCCCAACAAGATGGATTGGCACAGTGCAGCAACAATGGGATTGAGTGTAGTAATGATTTGAGGTTGACATAGGGTGGGGCAGTGTTTTGTTCTGTTGGGAATAAGGCCATTATGAGTCAGTACCAACTTGATGACACCTAGCGACAACCTAACAATATGTACTGGAAATGTTTTAATTTTTCCTAACGTTTACTTCCCTTTGCATATAAATAATTTTTAAATTATGTGGTACAGGAAGGAGTAAGTTCAAGTAAGGAAGTTGTAGCTTGTTTAGACCCTAATGTTAGGGTCATGAATATATATAATGAGAGATATCATTGCTGATGTCCGGTGGATCTTGGCTGAAAGCAGAGAATATCAGAAAGATGTTTACCTATGCTTTATTGACTATGCAAAGGCTTTCGATTGTGTGGATCATGACAAGCTATGGACAACGTTGAGAAGTATGAGTATTCCAGAAAACTTAATTTACTTCTGAGGAATCTGTACCTGGACCAAGAAGCAGTTGTTCGAACAAAGCATGGGAACACCGAATGTTTTAAAATTGGGAAAGGTGTACGACAAGGTTGTGTTCTTTCACCATATTTATTCAACCTGTATGCTGAGCAAATAATACAAGAAGCTGGGTTCTATGAAGAAAACATGGCATCAGGATTGGAGGAAGACTCATTAACAACCTGCGATATGCAGATGATAAAACCTTACTTGCTGAAAGTGAAGAGGACTTGAAACATTTACTGATGAAGATCAAAGACCACAGCCGTCGATATGGATTACATTTCAATGTCAGGAAAACAAAAATCCTCACCACTGGACCAGTAAACAACATTCTTATCAATGGAGAAAAGATTGAAGTTGTCAAGGACTCCATTCTTCTTGGATCAACTATCAACACTCGTGGAAGCAGCAGTCAAGATATCAGATGATGTATTGCATTGGGCAAATCTGCTGCACAGGAACTTTTTAAAGTATTGAAGAGCAGAGATGTCAGCTTGAGGACTAAGGTGCACCTGACCCAGGCCATGGTGTTTTCAATAGCCTCATATGGATGCGAAAGCTGGACAGTGAATAAGGAAGATCGTAGAAGAATTGATGCCTTTGAATTGTGGTGTTGGAGGAGAATACTAAAAGTGCCATGGACTGCCAAAAGAACCAATAGATATGTTTTGGAAGAATGCAGCCAGAGTGCTCCTTGGAGGCTAAGATGGATAAACTTCGTCTCTCATACTTTGGACATATTGTCCAGAGGGAACAGTCACTGGAGAAGGATGTCATGCTGGGTAAGGTGGAGGGTCAGAGAAAAAGAGGAAGACCCCCAACGAGATGGATCGGCCAGGTGGCATCATTGATAGCATCAAGTGTGGCAGCGGTAGTAAGGTTGGCCCAGGATTGGACATTGTTTCATTCTGCTGTGCATGGGGTCTCTATGAGTCGGTTCTGACTCAATGGAACCTGACAACAACAACAACAACAACAACAACAAATATATATGTAGTAAAACCCAGATAGACCAAGAGTTTCTTGAGGGTAGAGACCATGTTGCCTTATTTATATTGTTATCAATCCCTGGGTATATTGTTGGCATTTAATTAATACTGGTTCCAAATTGTGTGTATTGGTTTGTTTGTTTTTTTGGCTAAGAAAAACACTAACTTTCAAAACTATTCACTGTTATGCATTTCTATAGGTTATGCTCTCGAATCCAGTACTAGAAAATCCCGTGAATTTGGAAGCAGCCCAAATGTTGATTGCCAGTAAATCTGAGTACCAGATGGCAGTTGTAAACCTTTTCAACTCACCATTACAGTGTAAGAAGTGTATCTTTGCTATCATTTGGACATTTTAAATTATATATTTATAGCAAATAGTGCTCTAACAAATAATTCTTTGATAGGGGAATATTAGAATATTTTCTGTATCTATTTTCAGTAATGAAATGTTACAAAGATCTCTCCTGTAGTTTTTTTAAGCCAACCAGTGAGACATTTTTTTTTTTAAAGAGCATCAGAAACTGTAAGCATAGTATCTTTAAATGGTGTTCTTATGGATGGAGCGTGTTAGTTGGTGGTGTGCCGTGGAGTCGGTTCCGACTCATAGCTGCCCTGCACAGGGTTTCCGAGTCTGTAAATCTTTACGGGAGCAGAAAGCCTCATCATTCTCCCATGGGACAACTGGTAGTTTTGAACTTCTGACCTTGAGGTTAGCAGCCCAACTCGTAACCACTACGCTACCAGAGCTCCTTAAGACAAAGATACAATATCTAATTTTAACTCTTTGATCTATAATGGAAGTTTCTCAGGCTTCGTTTGTAATATCTCAGACCTTACTGGTCTAAGTCTCCTTTCCACTTGATTAGTACCTTGCTCAGCTTCTTTTCTGGAGAGCTCTCTCCCCTGGCATCCCTTTGGAGGGTCCAATGGAAATGGAAGGTCCTGAAGTCTTTCAATCTTTTCTGCTCTATTTAGCTGCTTGGTTTGCTCATTGCTCACCATTCTAGTGACCTCTTCAGTGTTAAATCCATTGACTTATGCTGTTTCCCCCATTATAGAGCAATGCTGCTAGCTCCTTTCTCCCGAGAATTTTCCCACAGCTGAGAGTTAGACACCTAACGATAGCGTTTTTTCATTTATATCTGCCCTGTCCCTCCAGTAACGCACAGGCTGGGGTAATCAGACCTGGGATCATTACCTCACCAGTCTGTAGGCCTTGCTGATCAGACTCCAGGAGCAGACTACCCCACAAGGAAGGTAAGCACGGGCTTACGTGTGCATATTTCACTGATCTGGAGTAAACAGTTTCCCATGTTGTTCACCACATCAGTGAACTCCATGGGAAATTGTCCACTACAGATCAGTAAGTAAGCACACTTACCTTGCTCACTGGGCACTCTATCCCTGTCAGGATTGTACATTTGAAAAGAGGCTTTGACTCTGTAGGAAGGTGCTGTGAGGTTGGGAGAGAGACAGATGCCAGCCAGACCTAGAAATAGAATCTTTGATGTGGTAGAAAAACATGAAATTGTTTGCTACAAATGAATAAACTCGTGCTTACTTGGTTTATTGGCTAATCTGACACTGTCAGACTTACTCTACCAAACTGATCTCTCACAGTGCTTTTTTTTTTTTTGTCTCTCCAACAGCCATTAGCTCTCTTCCTATTTCATTAGACAGGTCTGTACAATAGTGACCTAGTTCAAGTGTTCTTCCACAAAATTTCTGAGTCTGATGAAAATCAAGGGGATGTTATCCAAGCATCTCTTTTGGTCTCTTTGAATATGTTATAATTGTTATACAGTTCTTCTAACATTCCCTAATAATTTCGAAGCTGGTTTGTATACAGGAGTAGTACAACTTCACACTGATCTTCTGTGTGACTTACCAAAATACTAGAGCAGATCTACACTATTCATTACTGTATCCACTGCACCTAGAGCAGTACTGACCCTCAATAAAGACCTGCAAAATTACTGAATGAATGAATGAATGCTACACTATTGAGCACTATTATTGCAAAGAGATATTCTATATAACAAAACTGTCTATTTTCAGCTTAATGGCAATTTTAAAAGCTGGTTCTAAAGAGTTTTGTTTTTTTACAGTAACTGATTCTGTGCAAAGATTTTGTTTTGCCAACTTTGAAAGTCTATCCCTTCTAACACTGAGTGCTACCCACAGAAGCAACAGCTGCCTTTCAACACATGTGTCTGTTTCTTCTGGCATTTATGTTTCTAAGGTTATCTATACTAGTATTTCTGGGGTGCTCAGTTTTAGAAATGATTTTCAGACTTCTTATGAAACGTAAGAGATTTAGCTCTTATATTGCCATCCCCACATACCCTTCCTCTTTCTCATTCTAATATACTTACAGCACAATGATTAGTTACTTTATCATTACTGTGTAAATATTCGTCACAGGTCAGCCATGTATGATTGTTCGTTTTCTTGTACAAATGTCCTGATTTTTCATTTCCTTGTTTCTTACAGCTCTACCAACTATTCTTCCCCCATGTTTTCTGACAAAACTGTAAAATGACTCCCAGAATGGTCAAACACATAAGCATTCAATCAGCTCCCTTCCCCCCACTTGGAGATATCTTTCCTGTGTTATTTCATCCTTCTCCTTTAATTTTGAAGTGAGAGTTGTCTAGGCCTGCAGCACAGGTATCCTGGGACTCACCTTTTGTCTGTCTTCTGGGCTGGCATTCTTGTTTGATTCCTCATTTTACCCTTTCTTGGTGTTTGCGCTTTCATTTTCTTGTAGCACATCCTTTAGGAGCTCCTAAGAATGGATGCACAGGGGGCTATTTGTCTTGGTTTCCATGCGATCTTTCATGATGTTGACTTTGCTCAAATATCTAGTGATCTTTCGCTGTCCATTTATATGAGGGAACTACAATGAATTAGAAAGATCCGATGTTCTGTGAACTGGTTTTCTTAATTATAGGGTTATTCAGTGAGGGCCTGGTCATTTCATTCATTGATGGACTATTGGTCACACACTGGTCTTTACAGTAGTGAAGTAGTGAGTTGTCAGCTGCAAAATGGATGGTTTGAACCCAACAGCCACTTCACAGGAGAAAGTCTGCTTGCATAAAGCTTGTTGTTGTTATTAAGTGCTGTCGAGTCAGTTACGACTCATTGACACCTGCATAGAGTTTCTGAGGAGCAACTGGTGAGTTTGAACTGACCTTGCAGTTCAAACTGACCTTGTGGTCCAGTGCTTATCCTACAGCGTCACACCAGGCATAAATGTTATAGTCTTAGAAACCCCGTAGGGCAGTTCTCTGGGGTTGTCATGAATCAGAATTGACTCAATAGCAAGGGATTTCTTTTGGGGGGAATGTAAATTCTCATATCTGTACCTGGCAAAAAATAGACTCTAGCTGTTTACAAGTATATTCTGGAACCTAAGTAGGGAGAAAGAACAAGAAATCTGATATGTTCAATATGATTTATTAGATTGATCCCCTGTTTCAGTCATTTACCATACTCCTCCTTTGTACCTAGTATCCTCTAGATTTAAATCTCTTTGGTTCCATTTCTTCAGAGATTAAATATCCTCCTTTCTGCCTGGGTAAATTCACTGGGTTGTGCAAGATGAGGGTACAAGTCTTTTGGGTCTGTTCCATGCTCCTACTTTTAAAGAGATCTAGTACCTTTGATTTTTTAATATTTTCCTAAGTTCTGAAGTGCACATCAGCTAAGTTCCTAGTGATGTCCCCTCATCAAGAAGTGAGGTTTCACATTTTGATGACCTGTTAGGACAATTACCATTTGACATCTGTTTTCCACCTTGGAAAATAATGGACATGTGTGTTGTTGTTGTTGTTGTTGTTGGTTTTTTCTTGCTCTACTTGAAGTTTTATAATTAATTTCTATTCTTCAGTTACCATTTTATTGAAGCTTTGGAAAAAGGGCTATAAAGCCATATATTCAATTCTCCATGCTAACCAGAATCCTCTCATATTTTTTCTTTTCAGTGAAAAATGACAGTCTTATGCCAGCCAAAGAAACAGAGGAACATGTCAGGCAAGTTTGCCTTTACACTGTTCAATGTAGATTTATTTGCTAAAAAGCTTCTTGGTTTAAACTTTTTATAAATAACTTCTGTCACAATGGAACTTTCCTTTATTAAAAAAATCCAGTATAGGAAGTATGTGAGTATCTCTTTCTCTCACAATATCTTTTTGAATGTTAATATATTAACCAACATTTGTCTGCCATTTTGTCATACTGTGGTGGTTGGCATGTTGCTGTAACACTAGAAGTTAAGCCCATGGGTGTTGTAAAATACCAGCAGCATCCCCCACAGTGGACATCTTTCAGCAGAGCTTCCAGACAAAAACAGACTAGGAAGAAGGAGAGATGGACTACTTCCGAATATTTAGTCACTGAAAACTTTATGAATAGCAGTGAAACACTATCAGCACCACAATATTGAATATTGAAACCTAATGAAGAACACCAGAATATTGTCAGATATAGTGCCAAAAGATGACCTCCTCAGGTTGGAAGGCACTCAAAATGCTACTGGGGAAGAGCTGCCTCCTCAAAGTAGAATTCACCATAATGATGAGACTGGAGTAAAGTCCTTGGGACCTTCATTTGCTGATGGGCCACAATTCAAAATGAAGAGAAACAGTCATAAGCATCCATTAATAATCAGAACATGGAATGTATAAATTATGACTCTATTTACAAACTAGTTCTAAAGTGATATAGAAATATAGAAGACCTAGCATAACTGGCTTTTTAAAAATGTTTTATTATTTATTTATTGTGTTTTATTTTGGTTTGAAACTTTTTATTGTAAATTGAGTGAAGTTTTAGAGAGCAGATAATCAGTTTTACATTCAATAACTCATACACTTTGTTTCATCTCAGTGAATGCATCTTTTCCATGTAACAACAGTTATTTAACTTCTTCCCTGTGGTCCTTATTTCCGTTCTATTCTCTTTCCCAACCCTTCTGAACTGTGTTCTTAGGTAAATGATGTCCTTTTCATTCTGAATGGTTGATTGTTCCATGGCTAGCATACCTTACTAGTGTTGTTTCCCCCCATATATGCCTGTCTACCACTTGACTGAAATTTGGGCCAGAAGGTACATTCCATTCCAGACCTGAAGCATGGCTGAGGGCCATAGTCTCAAGTTCCTCCAGTCTATTTCTAACTAGTAAATCTGGTCTTAAATTTTGAGTTTTATTCCATATTTCCTCCCTCTCTCTCCGGGACCTCCTAACGAGATCCCTTTCAGAGCAATGGATGGTGGTAGCTGGGCATCATCTAGTTCTTCTGGTCTCAGGGTCATGGAGATTGATGTTCACATGTTCCATTAGGCCATTGGACTAATTGATTCTAAGGTCCTTTGATTTTCATCACTCTTCTTTCGTCCACACATGGAGAGACCAATAGTTGCACCTTAGATGACTACTCAATTTAAGACATTGCCTTTGTGGACTGTGTTATGCCAATTGATCAAGGTGTCCCCTGAGACTATGGTCCTGAGCCCCCAGGCCCAGAAAATCATTGCCTCCAAGTATTTAGAAATGTCTAAGAAGTTTTCACCATCCTGCCCCCTGTATATTCCACCACATTCATAGTTGTGTTTGTACAAAGGTAAATACTGATGTACAAATAACTTCTGTCAAATCCTTATATGTTTGTGGTTATACTCACACTCTCTCTTCCATCCTCATTCAGCATGTGTATCTGTCTATGTATCTACCTGTCGAACACTGCTGTTGCAGGGTTGAAGATATCACTATTTACCTTCATCCCCTTTAACATTTGCATTCCTCTTGTGTCTTCGCCTGTCTTCATCATTCTTCTGTCAAATTCCTTCTTGAATATTGTTTTCTCTGTCAACTGAGTTAATATGCAATATGAACTGAATAACCTTATAATTAAGAAAACCAGTTCACAGAACATCTGATCTTTTTAATTCATTGCAGTACAAAGAGTCCATTGTGGTGCTATAGGATAAGCACTGGACTGCTAACTGCAAGGTTGGCAATTCAAACCCACCAGCCACTTCTTGGAAATCCTATAGTAGGTCACTGTGTGTCAGAACTGACTTGATGACCCTTAACAATAACAACCCTCTAGCTAGTGAATTACTCTTCCTTCCTTTCTACCCCTGGTAACCATCAAATAATGTTTCTTTTAGCATGAAAACATTCTCTTGAGCTTTTAAATACACTATTTATCCTTTTATGATTTACTAATTTCACTCAGTATAGTGTTATATAGGTTTATCTGTATTATGGGGTGTTTTGCAGATTCATCATTATTCTTCAGTGTTGTGTAGTATATCTCCATTGTATGTATGTACCAAAGTTTGTTTATCCATTCTTCCATTGATGGGCATTTAGGATGTCTCCATATTTTTGCTACTGTGAATAATGCTGCAATTAACTTGAGTGTGCATATATCTACTTGTTTTATGGCTCTTATTTCTTGGAGATATCTAACAAGTAGAGGGATTGTGGGTCATGTGGCATGGCTGTTTCAACCATAACATTCTTGAAGAAGAATAACATTAGAGAATGTACACTCTCAGATAGAAAAACACACTAGGAAACTACAGTAAGCTTCACTCTGATTGGATCATTTAGGGTCCTAAATTAATCACTCAAGTAACCCTAATGGCACAATTCATTAAACTTTGGGTTGCTAACCTCAGGCTTGGTAGTTCCAACCCACCAACTGTTCTCTGAGAGAAAGATGAGGCTATACACTCCCATAAAGATTTACAGTCTTGGCATCTTAAAAGCTCATTAATGGCCTTCTAAAGTGCAGCTGTTGGTCTCTTCCTCTGCAGAGGAAAGAAGAGTGATGAAAATTGAAGTAGTTTGGAAAACTTTAGTCTAGATCCTAGGAACATCAGACTCCATGACCTGAAACCTGAAGAACTAGATGATACCCATCTATGACTAGCAACCCTGCATTAGAAGGTCTTCAATATAGTGGGAGAAAATGTGGAACAAAACTCAAAATTATATTATATAATTATATAAAGACCAGGCTTACTGATCAGATAGAAATTTCTGGAATCCTGAGACTATAACCCTTTGTGTTGCCCTTCAGGTGTGGAACTGAACTCATCCCCATTTACTCAACTTTCAGTTAGGCAATAGATCGATATATAAGGAGGACAACAACACTAGGGAGGTATGCACACCATAAAATGGTCGATCTTTCAAGATCAAAAGTGGAGCATTTACCAAGGACCAAATTCAGATAGGCTGGGAAAGAAGGAGGAATAGAAACAAGAAACACAGAGAGGAAGTGGGATAAGTGATGTTACCTTGTGTAGACTGCAATCAATGAGATAAAGGAAAACTTTTGGAACCTTCATTTGCAGATGTGGCACAACTCAAAATGAGAACAAATAGTTGAAAACATTCATTAATTTTTTAAAATGTGCAATGTACGAAGTATGAGTCTAGGAAAATAGGAAATCATCATAAATGAAATGGAGCACATAAAGATCAATATCCTAGGTGATGATGGTGGTAATGTTGTTAGGTGCCATGGATTCAATTCCAACTCATAGCTGCCTTCTATACAACAGAAACACTACCCAGCCTATGACTTCCTCACAATAGTTTATACACTTGAGTCCATTTCTGCTGCACTATACCAATCAGTCCATGCTGCTGGGAGTCTTCCTCTTTTTTTCTGACCTTACACTTCTGTAGGAACTCGTCCTGTCTAATAACATGTTCAGAGTCTGAGAGATGAAGTCTTGCCATCTTGATTTCTAAGGAGTATCCTGCTGTACATCTTCCAACACAGTTTTGTTTGTTTTTCTATGGTCTTCCTTCTTCACTGAGGGAAGAAGGCAATTTTCAATTGCCTCTTACAAAAATTCTTCCAAAATTTCATATGAGACAATTGAAAATACTATGGTGCAGCTTTGTCCTCAAAGTGACATCTTTGCTCTTGGGTACTTTAAAGAGGTCTTGTGCAGCAGATTTGTCTAATGCAATACGTCATTTGATTTCTTGGTTGCTGCTGCTATTCTGAGTGTTGTTCATTGTGGATCCAAGCAAAATGAAGTCTCTGACAACTTCAATCTTTTTTCTATTTATCATAATAGTCTCTGGTCAAGTTGTACGGATTTTTCCTTTCCTTACATTGGTTTGAAATGCAATTCATCATCACTTGCTTGAGTGTTTGGTGGGTAAATTTGAATAATAATGGTATTAACTGGTCTTCCTTGTAGGAATAAGGAGCACTGGTAGCATAGTGGTTACGAATCGGGCTGCGAAACTTAAGGCCAGCAGTTCAAAACTACCAGCCACTCTGCGGGAGAAAGATGAGGCGTTCTGCTCCTGTAAAGATTTATAGCCTCTCGGAAACCCTGTACAGGGTTGCTATGGGTTGGAACCGACTCGAAGGCACTTAACAACAACAACAACAACCATGTGGGAATATGGATATTATCTTATAACAGACTGAATTGAACTTCCAGATATAGCTTGAAATACTCTTTTTGACGATGAATGTGATGCCCTTCCTCTTCAATTTATCATTCCTGGCATAGGAAACCATATGATCATCAAATTCAATATAACCAATACCAAGGTTGACATTTCTACGCACCAGCTGCTCCTCAGTAACCCTGTATAGCGTGGCTAGGAGTTGAAAATGACTTGACAACACTTAACAACAACAACAATGCCTAGGATATTGAACTTTATGTGTTTCATTTAATTTTTGACAACTTCCAATTTTCTTATACTCATACTTCATACATATCATGTTCCAGTTATTAGTGAATGTTTGCAACTGCTTCTACTCATTTTTGGTTGTGATCCATTAGCAAATGAAGGTCCCTAAAGCATTACTCCATTTGTGTCAACTCTACTTTGAGGAGCCAGCTCTTCCCCAGTGATCTTTTGAGTGCCTTCCAACCTGAGGGCCTCATCTTCTGGCACTGTATTTGACAGTGTTTCACTGCTATTCATAAGGCTTCAGTGGCTAATCATTCAGAAGTAGTTTGCCTCTCCTTCTTCCTAGTCT